CTTGTTGATAATGTGTTTTAGTTTTAAGAGCGTAAAATATTGCGCAAGGCAATTTTATTTAACACATGCACTGTGTGTGTGTGTGTTAGTGGGACTTAGAGTTTCATACCGGACAACAATTATCAGCCATGAATACAAACAAAAAACCGTTACAAAAACATAAAAATTACTATAGAATGAGTTCAGACATAATAAACAAATCTAAGTAAAAAAAAAAATAAATAAGCTAAATAAATAGTTATATGTTATGTATGTTTATTATATCTGACTTGTGTCTACTGTCTCAAATAAAAATTTAGTGTATTAAGCGACAGTAAGGAGCAAAACATTATTACAAAAGATCAAAACATTAAATCTATTATAAAATAAACTGGTCAGGTCAGGTTATCCTGCTGCTGGTAACATGTAACCCAGTACAACCTACTTAATGTCCTGCTGTTTTGTAGGATACTCATTTTTAGACTTAAAACACCCCTTGCCTTGGGGCTTTTGGTTTAGTAAAGGCTAGAGATAGTGTTTCAATAAAAATACTCATCTTGGCATATATTAAGTGCATCTGGTTACTGTCTTGTGAAAAGCCTCACTAAGTTCTCTAAATCTTTCATTCACTAATATTCGTAGTCTTCGAAATAACTTCTGTTGAGACTTATCTCTTGCAAACTTCTCCAGACCTACTTGCTCTTCTTGAGACTAATTGGAGTTAAGCTGTCTCATCTTGTGATCTTAGTATTGATGGTTATCTTCCTATAATTCGTAAAGACTCAAATAGCCACATGCTTGCTTTGGGCATCTACGTTTGTAAGAATATACCCATTTGTTGGGAAACTAGGTTTGAATCCACAGACTATTCTTTTGTGTGCTTTTGTTTAGAACCAGTTCACTCTATAGCTTTCTCTTTGAACTATATAGTTCTTCTCTGACATAAAAAAGACTGCACTCTTTTTGATTCTATTTCTGATCAAATTGACCATGCCCTTCTCCTTTATCCTTCAGCCAATATGGTTGTTGGTGGTGGCTTTGCTATGACACTGAATGGCTTGGTTCTAGTGTCAATGACTCTGCAGGCGTTATGGCCCACAACTTTTGCCTTTCTCAATCTCTAAAACGAATAGACAACTTTCTGGACAATTTAAATAATTTATTATGTCTACTAAACTTATGTATTGTTTATGATCCTAGTCAGTACTCAGTTCCTCCACATTCACCCTTAGATGTTTCTGATCACAGTTTGACCTCTCTTAAACTTTTTTCATTCTTCATTCATTCTTCTTCATTTTGACTGGCACTCTTTTAGTGATTTTATTTGTAATAGCCCTTGGGTAGAAATCTTTCGCCTTGTTGCTGAAAAAATGCTGCTTCTTATGTAACTTTTTTTATTAAGGCACGAAATCCTTTATTAACAACTCAAAAACAACTCCAAAAAGTCAAAAACTCTAAAAAGCTCTTTACTCTTCTCCGTGGTTTTCATTTCATTATGAAAGTAATGATTACAATTTCCAATTGTATCCATTTCATATCTATCAGCAAAACAAGCCTCCAGAAAACAGTTGTCTGTTCACTACTGCTAGAAACCATTGTAAAAAGGTTTTGTCTAACGCCAAAACTCGCTAATCTCTAAAATCTCATACCAGATTTTATAATCTAAGGTTATAAAATCTGGTATTCTATCTCGAAAATTAGGCTCTTGTGACTTCTGGAGTATCTTCTATAGTATCTATAATAAGGGCAAATCTGTTATTCCACCCCTCTTGTATGGTTAAGATTTTGTCATCTCACCTAAAGACAAAGCTGAATTGTTTGCTAAGAACTTCTCATCAATATCTCTTGATTCTACTATTCGCGTCCCACCGTTCTTTTCTAAAGTATTTATTTTTTGCAAAGGCTTTAAATAAAACCATAACAAATAATTTTAATGATTGTTTACACAAACGCATAAATTAATGTAATAATACATAAATTAAAAAAAAAATGTTATATATAAATTTTTTTTTTGTAGGCATGTATTTTTTATGATAAATTTAAATGTTTGAAACTATTTTTTAATGCCTTCCTAAAAATCTTTTGAACCATTATTTTTAGAAATAATTTTTAAAATAAGTTCAAGTTTTGTGACTTATAGCTTTTACGCATTTTATGTAAATTATACAAGAATATAAAATAACTTTATTTATAGAAAGAATATATCATTACTTCATTATCTTGTTGATTAAAATTTTGAAACATTTTGTAATTTTCATACAATTAATTTTTATAATTAAACTATTAAAATCTTATTTTTAAACTTTTAAAATCTTATTTTAATCTAATTTTTATAATTAAACTTTTAAAATCTTTTAAACAAACATTTTATTTTTTAAAGAAAATTTTTTTTTAAATTCAATTACGATAGGAATGAATGAGTTAATTTTTAAATTCGTTACTTAAAGCGCTCCTTGATTACTTGTAAGGCTCAATTTTGTTGTAATAATTAGTTATAAGGCTCAAATTTGTAAGCGCTTATTAATAAGTTGTAAGGTTCAAATTAAAATTAAACTAAGTTGCTTGATGGCAGTTTATTTTATTTAAACCGCAGGCGCATTTCATTTATTTATTTTCCTCCTGTTTTTACAAATAAAAAAGTCGAAAACCTTTTTTAACTAGACTTATTAAAAAATGAAATTATTAAAAATTACTCTTTTAAAAAGACTACGTTATTTTTTTAAATAACTTTTTAATAAATTTGATAAAATTGGTTAATTTATTTCACAATTTTAGTATTAATTTGTTACTTAATTTAAAAGCGTTTTTGCGTAACTTTAATAAAATGTTTAAAAAATAAGTTTTAATAACATTTATTTCAAACATAATTAAAAACGTAACAAAAAGTTTCGCTTAGAGTTTAAGTTTTTAATTTTTATTCTTAAGTGCTTATACAATTTCTTTTTTGTTAAGGAATTATTTTTTTGTTTCTTTTTTCGTTAGAATTTTTTTTTTGTTAGTTTTTTTTTTAACTTTTTTCCTAGTTAAAGTTTAGCTTAGCCTGCAATTTAGCTTAGCCTGCAGTTTAGCTTAGCCTGCAGTTTAGCTTAGCCTGAAGTTTTAGCTTAGCCTGCAGTTAAAGTTTAGCTTTAGTTAAAGTTTAGTTAAAGCCTTAGTTAAAGTTTAGCTTAGCCTGCAGAGTCTGCTTTTTCCAGCCTGCGTAAAGCAACATCTGTTATCCCTTTTTTCTGGAGAGCAATCTGACTCATCTAACTACTGTCACATTTGTCTTATTCCTATCATAAGCAAAGTTTTTGAGACATAAATTAACAAACACTTGACCTCTCATCTTGAATTTAATAACTTACTTTCTGATCACCAATATAAATTTCGATCTTCTTGTTCTACTGCTGATTTGTTAACTGATAAGTTCTATTGTGAATTCAGATGTGGAGAGGCTAAGGCTATCGCTTTCGACACTTTTCAAGCTTTTGATAAAATTTTGCATCCTGGTCTTCTCCATAGGCTCTCTTCTTATGGTGTATCAGGTAACATCTTTAAGATTTTTGAATGCTTCCTTTCCAATTTTAGTATAAAAGTTGTCCTCAATTAATAACACTCTTCTTCAGATAAAACTCAATTTGTTTCAGCAAACCGTTATCGCAATAATCTAGATCTTTCTATAGTTGTGAACGGTAATGTTCTTGATGAGTCATCAACCCTTCATCTTCTAGGATTAATTCTTACTTCCTATCTTTTTTGGAAACCATATACCAAATATATATTGCAAAATTAGCACCTGCTAAGATTGCATCTCTCTATCATCCTTGCCAACTTCTTACTCAGGATTCTATTCTTTATCTCTATAAATCTCAAATCTGTTCTTTGTATGGAATACTGTTGCCATATATAGAGCGGATCTTCCAATGATGCTCTTTCTCTTTTAGACAAGGTGCTAAAACACATCGTAAACATAGTTGGGCCTGCTCTTGCAGCCAACCTCCAACCATTATCAAATCATTTTAATGTTGCTTCTCTTTCTCTTTTTTATAAATACTATAATAAACACTGCTCTAAAAAGTTAGCGTCTCTTGTACCATTAACTAAAATTCATTCTTGTGTTACTTGTCATTTAATAAAGTCTTATCCTTTTACTTTGACTCCAAGTGCTCTAAAAACTCTTATTTGTCTAGTTTAATTCCTCAAACATCAATTCCTTGGAATTCGGTACATTTTTCTTTGGGCATCTACGTTTGTAAGAATATACCCATTTGTTGGGAAACTAGGTTTGAATCCACAGACTATTCTTTTATGTGCTTTCGTTTAGAATCACTTCACTCTATAGCTTTCTCTTTGAACTATATTGTTCTTCTCTGACATAAAAAAGACTGCACTCTTTTTGATTCTATTTCTGATCAAATTGACCATGCCCTTCTCCTTTATCCTTCAGCCAATATCGTTAAAAGATTACAAATTACATGATTCATGTAATTTGTAATCTTTTAACTCATCTGTCAATCGTTATCTTGCTCTACAATCTTTATCTTTTCTCTTCCAGTAACTTTTAACTCTTATAGTGATTGCTTGCAGTTGGAATTGAAGATGTTAAAAAAATAATAATTATTAAATGCTGCAATTTAACAACAAATGTATGCTTTTTTCTCTATAAAATATATGTAACTTTATCACATAATGGTAACAATCTACTGACTAAAAAAAATGGAATTGTATCAGTGTCAGCATTCAAAAAAATTCAAATCTTTATTTGACACAAGAGACAGGAGATAGTTATAGTAAACTATAACAGCTTTTTAATTTTTTGTTTTGTTTTCTACTTAGATGTGTTTACCACATCTGAATTTATTATTATTCATTCAGTAATTTTTACATTTTTTAATGGTTTGTTTACATTTTTTTCTGTACTCATGGCTAATGATTGTCGGGCATGAAACTTCAAACTCATGCTGATCAGTTGTTTTTATTTATCTAAATAAAAAGAAATAATAATATAAAAGCATTTTACAGAATATAAAATAAATTACCAATGTTTCCCCACATTTTGACATATAGAGTTGATATGGTTGTTTCAAGTCTAAATTTCCAAGCATTGACTAAATAAAAATTTAAAAAAGTGTTAAAAAAACTATATATGTAAAAATTCATAAAAAAATTGTTAAACTAAAAATCAATTTAAGTGACATTGCCAATTAAAAAAACTTCAGAAAAAGTAAAAAGTAAAAAACAAAATTCAAAGTTCTTCTTACAAATGGTTCATACAACATGTTTACTTAATCAACAGTTATAATTTATAGTTATAAATTATTGAATTATTTCTTATTATAACTCTTTCACTAGTATAAAAATTCATAAGAAAAAATTATTAAACCCAAAATAAATATAAGTGATTTAGTCAATTAGAAAAACTTTAAAAAAAGTAAAAAGAAAAAAAAAAAAAAATTCAATACATGCTTTCACAAACGTAGCTTTCACTAACATAGCTTTCATTAACATAGCTTTTACTAACATAGCTTTCATTAAACTAACTTTCACTAACATAGCTTTTATTAAACTAGCTTTCATTAACATAACTTTCATTAACATAGTTTTCATTAACATAGCTTTCCTTAAAATAGCTTTCATTAACATAGCTTTCACTAACATAGCTTTCATTAAACTAGCTTTCATTAACATAACTTTCATTAACATAACTTTCATTAACATAGCTTTCATTTATATAGCTTTCACTGACATAGCTGACATGTTAATCCTTCCCAAAGTAGGACTTCTAAAATAAAGATATTATTATGCATAACCAGTAAAGCTGCTGCACCAAAAAAAAAGGGTATTAATATTTTTAAAAAAAAAGGTATTAATATTTTTTTTAAAAAAAAGGTATTAATATTTTTAAAAAAAAAAAAGGTATTAATATTTTTTAAAAAAAAGGTATTAATATTTTTTAAAAAAAAAGGTATTAATATTTAAAAAAAAAAAAAAGGTATTAATATTTTAAAAAAAAAAAGGTATTAATATTTGCTTGATTTGCTGGAGTTTTAACATTTATTTTTCCATCAACCTTACATTCAACAAACATTTTATCAACAAAAATATCTTCATATGGATAAAAAATTTTGTAACAATTCACATTATTTTATTCGATCCCATCTTAATCATGACAGCAATAAACTTAATGAGCTCATATTTATTATTTTAAATTGAAATATAGACAAATTAAGGACATTATTTACCAACATTTTCTAAAAATTAAAGGAATTAGCAACACTAATTAACTCACTTTAAATTTAATCATTGAAAAAAGTTAAAAAAGTTAAAAGTGTAAAAAGTTTTTTCTCGACTTTAAAACAGAAAAACAAAAAGTTGAATTAATATTGTGATCCTTTTCAAGATGCACCTAATAATCATACAATTTTACCTAATAATCATATAATTTTCCTAATAATCATATAAATTTACCTAATAATCATATAATTTTACCTAATGATCATATAATTTTACCTAATAATCATATAATTTTACCTAATAATCATACAACTTTTTAACACAATATGGCTCTTGTTTTTTTAATAATTATAAAATTAATTCTATTTTTAAAATAAACCAATAAAATATGTCAAAAAACCAAATTTATGTACAAAATATGATAAAAAGTGAAGCATGTTAAAAAAGTACTACAAATGGCTTGCAGTCAAAAATGCTGATAAAAGTCAACAAAACTGATAAAATGGTTTATTTGGAGTGAGTTAAACATTCAACTATTTTTATTGTAGAAATTTTTTAAACAATTTATGTTCATTGTATAAGATACCATTTTTATATTCACTGTACAATTTTCATTACATTTATTGTAATATTTTCATTGCACAAGCTTCTATTATGTTTGTACAAGTTACATTTCTGTTTGTACCTTTTCTGAACACTTTGAAGGCCATCCTTGCCATATTTGATTACTTGGAGGAATTTTAGTTAGAAAAAGCAGTTCTTCTTTAACCTAAAACAATTTAAAAAAATTATTTTCTTAATAAAATAATAATTTAGTCCATTAACTATAAAAACAATTTTTTTGGCAATTTTTACCTCCACCCCTCCTCTTTGTCAACAATTTGTAAAACTTCCAGATTAAAACATTTCTTAAGTGAACCCCAAAATAAAGTTAAATGGAAAAAAAAAAAAACAAGATCGTTTTCTTTCCTATTTTTAAGTAATTAAATTAACAAGTGATATTGTTAACGCCAACTTTTCTTGACCTCCCCCTCCCCCCTTGTCAACAATTGTCAAAAAATTCAGACCTCCCTCACCCTTTAGACATAATTAATGCAGGGCTCAAATTAACACAAAAAACTTAGTTTCAAAAATTTTTTTATTTTAAATCCCCCCAATCTTTGTCGCCGAAGGGTCATGTTAATAAAAAATTATATCTTTAGTACACGAGTTGGTAATTGTCATTTGCTTAACATAATATCTCTCTAATATCTTTAACATAATATATTTAAATATTATCTTGTAATATTTTTGTTGGCAGAGTTTAAAATAGCATAAATTGCTGTTATAATTAAGTTATACTTTAAAGTTTGAATTGCAGTTATAGTGTAACGAGCAAGTTTAAATATAATGAGCAAGTAATGTATTTACTGCTATTAAGATATTACCATTAGTAATTGTTTTTACTTAACATGATACTTGAAAAAGTAAAAGTAAAAACACAAATATTACAATATTTATATTAGTTATAGAAAACTATTTAATACATACATGTTGACACTAAAATTATTTTTAAAGAGTATTAGATTGTTATTGTAAAAAGCTATAAAACAAATGTAAAACAATACTAGGTAGTTATTTTGTCATTATAAAAAGCTTGGGTTAATATAAAACGCGTATAAAATAAAACAAAGTAAATAAATAGAATTGTTTTCAATTAATAAATTGCAACATTTTCATCATAAAACTTTAACTTCATATTTGCCTAAAAACATTGCATATCTATAGACAAAACGAGCAAAAAAATACATGCTATATCAATAGAGCAAAATAAAAAAACAAAACATGTTATATCTATAGACCAAAGCAAAAATTAGATACTACATTTTTTCTAATTTATTATTTCTTGATCTTGCTTACTATTAAAAATTAAAGTATAATTAATTTTTTTATTCAAATGGCTTTAAAGTAAATGTTTTCATTCAATATTTTTGTTCAAATTGTTTTGCAATAAAAAGTGAAAGAAAAAAATTTGATTTGAGGTCGTCCGCAAATAACATCACACAATTTTTGACTATTTTTGACACCTCTCATCATAACAACTATTGTAAATGGCTTTACTAAGATAAAAATTAAGCATGCCATTACCCAGGAGATAGTAAATATTGATACCTGGAGTTCTTGCCTAAAAGACTAGCATTTTAACTAGTTTACCAGAATCACAAAATGTAAAAAAAATAAATGAGTTTAAACTAAGATAATAAAAATCTAGCAAAAAACAAAAAAATTTAACACTGTAGTTGTGTTCTGTGATAAAAAAACACAAAAATTTTAATGATATCTTTGAGGTAACATTTGAATTATATTTTTTTCTTCTGCATATGAAAATTAAAAAAATATATACTTACATCTTGTATTGTTTGTGTTGGTTTAAACTTTAATATATATTCTTTAACACTCTTTAAATCATTGTATTGTATTAATAATGTGATATCACTACTATCTTCTAAATCAACGATTCTAAATTAATTTTAAATATTTGTATACTATTAAGATACATATTTATGAATAGGGGTCTATGAATAAGACTGAATTTAATTAAAAGAATACTAGCCCCAACCAAAACCCTCATACTATGTATATACACTTTGTAACATCCTATATAAGTATGTGCACTAGGGTGTCCCAATAAATATTGAAAATTTGAAAATCAAGAGACCATACTCTCAAAATTTTAAGATTTTCGCTATAATTTTGATTTCAAGTTAGTAACTTTACTAGATATAAAGTTCTGCAAAAATTTTTAAATAAAAAACTTTTTATGAACTAAATAGATAAATCACAACTTACACATTTTATGCAATTAATGAAGCAAAAAGACAATATTCAATAAGACACATAGAAGAACATTTGAAAAACATTTTAAGCTTTTGTGACTTAACATTTTGTCATTTTTGCTTGCAATTTTTTTATGATCTTTTGTGACAAACATATTTTGCTTCTGATTTACTTCTGCCGTTCTTTATCCCTTTTTGTAGACATATTCATATAGTCTTGTATTTGCTTAATATTTCTTTCAGCACGACAATACCCCTTTTTCTGTATAATAACTTACTTAAAATTGAAAAATAAGACAAAAGTGTCAGATGTTAGACAAATAAACAGAAGTTTCAAAAGCTTTCAGTATTCTCCTAGGACTTTACTCCAATGCTATCCCTGTTCAATTTCGCTCTCTAAAAAACCAATAATTTTTAAAAGATACTAGGATTTTGGACTAACCAAAAAAATGTTGTTTCTGGTTCTAGAATCTGAATATTTTGAGAATATCTAATCTTGAATTTCAACATTATCATCTTCAATCACTAACACAACAAGCTGAAGAATTAGGTTCCAAGAGTGTCGTTTCCAAGAGTGTCGTTTTATATTCTTTGTTAAAACCTACTCTAACTAATCATTGTATTTTAACACCTAAAAGCATCATAGTCATTCTTGTTTCACCCTTGAAAACAGAGTTTTCAAAAACCATGGTGCATAAAAAACGGCTGTAAAAAAACTTCTTTTCTGTATCTCATTTTCTCAATCATATCTTTAAAAACGTTTTTTATCTTTATTAATGTAAGAAACCTATCTACCATAAAACATACCTCATGACAAGGTTTCTATAATCACCTCTTGCAAAAGTATTTTTGAGCAGGGGATTGGTACAAACAGAAAACTGACTCAACTTTTAAGTTATAAATTCATTTTTACAACAGTATCTAAAATGTTCACTTTTGCACAAACTTATAATTTCTTTTAACAAACTTCCACTTTTTATTTCAATTTTTTTATATTATAATATAAAAGCCTTCAAGTTCACTGGAATGAAGGGTTGTAGTTTCTTTGACTGCCATTTTTTCAATATTTTTTGGTACTTTTCTTGCAGGGTAAGCTTCTTTACTTGGAAAAACACAAGTTTGGGGACCTGTTGCTCTAAAGGAAAATGTCAAATTGCAGCCTTCCATAGGAAAGATTATAGTTTTCTTTAAAGTAGTTGAAAAACTTTGCTTAGCTAACTTTGAAATTTTTTTTTTAAAACAGCCTATACACAGTTTTAACATTAAAAGTGGCAACTAGATAGCATATAGACTTTCCAAGATAGTGGTTTTCCTTATTTGGCTTATAAAAGCTTTCAATGAGCTGTCTCATCAAAAGTTTGGTTTCTTTAGACAATGCTTGTTTTATGTGACATCCTTATTTATCATTATAATCATTTTCAAAGCCACAATCTTTCAACTTTTTTTTATAAGTAACTTAAAAAAAACTTTAAACTTTTTTTAGAACTCTTTTTCTTCCTGGGTTGTTTCTGCTTTAATTTCTTGAGAGTTAATCAAAGATTGTAAGAACAAATTCTGCTTATGTTAAGTGTTGAAGGTGTGGAATTGGTTTAATATATCCATTTGATCCTCTTTGTTAAATTTCTCAAGACAGCTGTTCCTCTTACAGTCAAAAAAAATACTTTTATACCGAGTATTATTACAAATTTTAACTTTGAAAATGAAATTGTAAAGTAACATTGAATAAAAGAAATTTACATTTAGGGTAAGCAAAAGTACTTTTGAGGTGCAGTATTTCCTTAGTAGTTAACAAATTCTTCACATTTTATTCTGGCAACCTTTATGTTTCTATTCCAAAGACTTGAATCTGCTTTCCTTTTCTTTGTTGACTTTTTCTCAAGAAAATCATCATTTTCATTTGAATTTATATTATATCATAAATTAGTGAATCAGAAAAATATTTTTCTGTTTCATTTATGATATAACAGACTAAGAACACAAAATATAAAGTTTATTTTAAAGTTAATTCGTATTTAAGTCAAGCACTACACTACAGTACAATAACATAAGATTAAGAATACAAGACATAAAGTTAAACACAAAGTTAATTCCTATTTAGGTTAAGCTGTACAGTACAGTCAGAGGCGATTTTAGGGGTGTGTGTGGGGTGAGGAGAAGGTGATATTAAAGTTATAGTGTCCGTATTTTGACAAATACAGTCTGGTAATTGGATATTTGACACAATTCAGTTGAGTAAATTTTAGTTTTGAGGACCTTTTTTTTATTTTTGATGTTGCTTCAATAAGTTCTATGATTATTATATTTCTTTAATGTAAAAGTTTATTAAAATAAGTGTTCATTTAAATTTATTAAATAAGCTTTTATAATACTATTATACTATTTTTAAAGTTGTTCGGAAAAAAAAGTAGTAAAATAAAAAATAATAAAAATTGAAAAAAATTTTTTTTTTCATTTTTATTACTTTTTATTGCTTTTTTTTTCATCAATTTTTTGTCATACTTATCCTTTGTTAAGTTCCATGTTTTTGTGGACATGCAATTTGAAACTTTAATGAAACTGTAGCTTTTTTCAGAATTTAGAATGAGGTAATATTTCAACACTTTTCCTACAGAAGCCAGTTGTTATGTTGGTAATTTGTTTAAAGGATAATTGAGAAGGTAAATAGTTTTTCTAGAACAGTTCTAATAGACCAGTTGTGTTTTCTCTTTGCACCTTGCTTAATTTTTGTTTTTGAACATTCCATGTTGAAAGCATAAAAAAAAAAATTGATATTGTAAACACTTCTGTAGTTAAAAATTTTTTTAACTACAGAAGTAAATCTATTTCAGAAATTATCATTCTGTTTTAAAATATTTTCATTATTAGGCATTAGTAGTTGTTACAAAGTTGGATTTTTGAACATTCTTTAAGCTTTTCTAATAAAATTTTGTATAATTACAAAAAACTTTTTTTATTTTCATAAAAATAAAAGGTTTCAGATTGTCGACTAGATGAACCATAACAAATGGTTATCTTCTTTTTTGGATTAATTTACAAACTTTTGAAGGCACAGCGTTTTTTTGGGACACAATCTGCACTTTGCATAAACATAAAAAAAAAATAAAAAAATAAAAAATAATAATAATAATAAAGTAAAACAAACTATTTATATAACAAAACAAACTCTATCAATAAATATAAAAGACTAGTCATCAAAGTTGTATTATCAGAACAAATAAACAATTAAAAAACTGGAAAATTAAATTAGTAAAATAGTTATTTGTATGTCGTGAAAACAAGAGTTATTTTGATGTCGTGGTAACAAAAAAGATATTAGTTGTTATAAAGTTATTTTGATGTTGTGGTTACAAGAAAGATATTAGTTGTTATAAAATTATTTTGATGTTATGGTAACAAAAAAGATATTAGTTGTTATAAAGTTATTTTAATGTTATGGTAACAAAAAGATGTTAGTTGTTATATAGTTATATGAAGAATGGTTATAGAAGATTACCATTAAACAACTAATTACTAATATTCAAAAATTTTTGCTAAAAAAGTTCAAAAATTTTTTAATAATTTACCCATTTTTATTTTTAATGAACTACATCATTTGCAATTCATTAAAAATTTATGCACATGCAGTTATGAACATTTTCTAATATAGAAAATATGAAATACTGTAATACTGTTAGTAATTGTTAAATTCAGTAAACATAAAATAAGAAGCTTGCTTAACTTTGGTTAAGTAAGCTTCTTAGAAAGTTATTTAATAAAAACATTACTAAAAAATTTGTTGTATTTTTTTATTTAGTTTTTGGTTTAGTTAAGTCTATTTCTGTATATTTTATTTTCTGTATTATTAGCACTTTAAAAATACAGATAAGTACCAAGCACAGCAGTTAGTAATTTCGCCGGTTATCCGTTTCAAAAACCGGATAACAGTTCTCATCAATTTGCGGTAACCGACTATTCGTTTAATTAGTGACATTTTCTGAATACAGGATCTTCTAAATTTCAACAAAAAGCGTTTTAAACTAATTTTTTTAAAATTAATGTTAAAGTGTACATTTTCAAGACAGTTAGTGAATACAGTCCTATATTATATATTTATAACAAAACATGGAAAAAGATATATATTTTTATATTATAATATAATATACCTTTTTAATTATTTAATTAAGGAATAATGTACAGTATAGTTTAAATGTTTTAATATCAGCGGATATTTTAAAATCATTCTTTCATATAAAAACATTTGATTTGGAAAAATGAAATGTTATGAAGTAAATTTTTTTAGCGTGTATTGTTATGCGGACATAGATGGAAACATAGATAAACTTGAATGTTCTCAAAACAACTTGTTGCATAAAGATAATATAAAGAATATTTGCTAACACTAAAATACCGCCAAATCTACGAATAAACAAATTCTATTGTTTCAAAAAATACGCTGAATAAGCGAATTAGAGTTCCAGAATATTCTGAAGAAACTTTCTTAAAAATGTATTGCTTGAGTTAAAAAAGTAATAAATAAATCTTTGAGATTTCTATTGTAAATTGTTTTAAGAATATATTATCAAACAAAACTGATTAAATTAACATTTAAATTAATAAAAGAAATATATTATAATCTTTGATAAATTAACATTTGTCAAACAATAATCGTCATAATTACGATGTTACTTTCTATAAAATTTCGTAACATTTTTAAGTCGGTTTTTATTATTCGAAAATAGATATTTGAAAATCCGGTTAACCGCAAAACCGGATAACCGGCGAAATCACTAACAGCAGTAACTTATTTAGTGAATTACCAGTAAATGAAAAAGTGTTTAAACCATTTTTAATGTTAAAATTTTAGTTTTTAGGTGAAGCTTAGAGTTTAAAATCAAGAAACTTATGGGAATATATATAAACTTGAGAATGCAAAAAAATATATACTTATGGAAATATATAAAAACTTGAGAATGCAAAAAAATCATTTTTGCCAATAAAAGATATTCTATAAAATCATTTTTGCCAATAAAAAATACTTATAAAATCTTTTTTTTTAGGAAATTCTTGAAGACACCTGTGGTACATCTTGTAAAATATAACAAATACAATAATTTTATACAAACAAAAATTTTACAAATGCTTACGGAATAGAGTTGGTAAATGTTTTACTTTGATCATATTCAGCATTTGATGTTGATTTCTTATGTAAATACAATTTAGTTTCCTTGCATAAATTTAATGAAGAAAGAATGGTCTAAATTATAAAAGATTTTTATTGATAAAGATATGATTTAAAAACTATATTATTTAGTTTATTGAAACTTAAATAGTTATAAAATAAGTAAAACATTTAGTAACTGTATAACTTGAAATATTTTTTTTTAAATAACTTTATTCTTTATTATATATTATCTGGACTATTATAATATATTCAGTGAAAAAACATTTAGTAAAAATGATTTTGAAGCTTTATAAAAAACAATTAAATAAAAAGGTTTGGTTTTTTTTTTAAAAACTTTATTAAAAAAAGAAAAGAAAAGTAAATTAGATAAATCAAAACTACTTAGGTGAACAAACTATTTATCTAATCGCAATATTTTAACATGTCTTGCACATATTGTCAAAAAATATAAAACATAATCAAAAAGTATTATTGATTAAATTTTTTGCCGGAAGTGCGAAATTTTTGCTTATTTTTTTACCCTTATTAATAACATTCCACAACAAATGATAACTTATAAAAAATAATAATTATACAACAACATGCTTTAAAGAGATCTAAAAGTACCAAGACAAGTTATGTTCATATTAAAGAGAATGTTGAAAAAAATGTTTAAGCTGAATTTTTTTGATTAAAAAAATTAAATTAACATACAATACAGAAAAACTAACTTTTTAGTTAGTTTTTCTGTATTGTACGTTAATTTAAAGTCTCCATTTTATTGTGACTTTAAAGTCTTTAAATATATATGCTGCAGTCTCAGATTTGATAATTTATTGAAGAGTGTTTAATTTCAGAGTTGTAATAATTGTAGAATTTTGATGAGAAATCTAAAAACTCTTTTTTTCTTCAAATTATATAATTTTTATTTTCATTTTAGATTACTAAAGAGCTTATTTAGTTACTTTTTATTATATAATTTCTTTTTCATCATAAATTACTAAAGAAATTCTTTAGTTATTTAATTTTCTAATTTTCCTTAAACTCACATTAAAAATGACTAAAATATTTCAGATATTTTAAGCTTGTCAATTGCTGTAAAATTAATTTTGTTTTATATTTATTTTAATAATTTTAATTTATTATAATAATTTATTGCTATTAAATGATAATTATCCTTATTAAGATTCTGTTAAAAAAAAATTGTTTTGTGTTATTTAACCGCATAAAAAATTAATTTTAATATGTTTTGAAAATTTGTATGCATTTTAAAAACGCTCTGGAAAAATTGTCTTAATTATGAAAAAACCTTCTTAGAAAAAAATACAAAAAATAAAATAACGAAAAATAAAATAACTTAACTAAAGCTTAAATAACAAAATTAAAATTAAAACTTAACTAAAATAAATAATAAACTACAACGCTAAGATAATCTAAATTATGTTAGGAATAAATAATTAATTTAATCTTTGCTAATGTTTTTATAATATTATGGGAAACCCTTTTTAAATAAAGTAACAACTTACAATAATGATCGTTTAATAAACATGTTTAATTTTGTTTAATAAATGCTTAAAATTGTTTAATAAAAATTATTTAAAAGTTAAAAAAAAGATTCTTAACAATTCTTCGTAGTAACGTAAACAAAAGAAAAAATAATTAAACCGTTTATTTATAAAGTTAATATTATTTTATTTTTCATTTAAAGACATTTAAAATAATAAATACATACTAATATAAATATAAATATATATATATTATTCATTAATATTTTTATAAATGCCATAAGCAGTAATTTGTTACTTTAATTAAATGTGTTTCAATAATATAAAAACATAAGTAAAAATCAAAGTTATTTAATTCAAATGGGTTTCAAAAAAGTTTCAAGTTGCTTTAAGTTATCTCTGTTTAAAGTCATTGCTCATAAAATTTTGTTTTATTACTTTTTTTAATTATAAAAAACCTTATATAATTAATATTAAAACAAAACGAAAATTTATACAACTTTCAATGATACTTTAATTAAAATCTTTAGCTACTTTTTTAAAAAGCGTTTTGCTAATATAAAAATATGTAGCAGCTATTTATTTTCAACGTAATTAAAAATCAATTTTTTAGTGCATTTGTTAAAAACCACGATTAAAGGGATCCCAAACTCCCAACACATGTTGTGTTCATATTAAAAATAATGTTAAAAAAAAAGTTTGAACCAAATTTTTTTGATTAAAAGTAAATAATGAATGTATACCGGGAAAAACAAATGTTGTTGTTTTTGCCGAATCTTGTCTTCTCCATTTTTTTTAACTATTCGGAGTTTTCAAATTATGCATCGCAATCTACAGACTTTGGCAATTCCTTTGAAGTGCGTTTAATTCATAAAAGTTTTAGTATTTAACGTCAAGGTAGACTTTTAACAAAAGAAAAGTGTAATTAAACTAAGCTGCGTTTTTCTACTGCAGTATTTTTTTAACATACAACAAAACAAATTTAATTGTATTATTTTTCCAAACATCCCAAAAAAAATTTTGTAAAAAGTAAAAACAATAAATTATTTTTATTTTATAGGAGCAACTTATTTTTTACAGATATCTTAATAATTTTTAGATTTATATATCTTACTTATAATTCTTTAATTATTTAAATTAAAACAAATATTAAAGCTTTACTTACCAATCTCATTTTCAATCTCAATTTTCATACGAGTATTTTAAATTATATAGAACGTTTTATATACGGTCTCTTGTTTTTGCGCAAGAGAGTGCAGTATTATATATTCTGATTCTTAATTATTTTTATTTAAACAATGGGAACTATTTTCTAACTTCTCTGGTTATTTTTACGCTATGACAATTTTTTGTTTTCCCGTTCGAAAAAAGTATTTATTAACAATTACTTTCATAAACTGACAGTATTAATTAGAGATATTTAATGAATTGTTAACTTTTTTTATTATAAAATTTTTTTGATAACGCTGATTTAATTTAAATTGCTAAATTTGCTAATTGGATACGGATAAAAAGGAAATACCATTTTATTTTACATTTGATTTTTGATAATAAAATTTTTAAAATGTCAGCAACTCCATACCAATTAGAACCTGTTAAAATTATGAAAAAAAAGTACAAGAATACACTAAACAATATAGTTGACAGTAGTATTAGATATGAAAATTCGTGAAAGGATATGTGAGATCCTGATTTTGCATTAAAAGTACAATTAATTGCAACACAAGTCGGCATTATAAATTTTGATTATAAGTTTACTGTTCAATATTTTATAACTATCAAATAAAAAACATGAAGTTTGTATATTTTCGCCCGTTTTATACAACAAATATTTAACAAAAATATGGACAAATTATTATTAAATAACGCAATAATTAACACATTAATTAAAATTTAAATGGTAATTTAAATTGTTAAAATGTCATAAAGCGCATTAAAAAACATATTATATTTGGTATTTCCAAATTTGTGTCGTAATTGGCATTTGTCTCTTAACATGAAAAATTAAAAATTTTTAAAAACGCAATTTTTACTTCCAATTCTCATTTATTCAAAGAAAATTTACTATTAAACTTTTATTTCTCTCATTTAAAAAAAGAACGAGTGACGCAAAAAAAATATATATTCTATACAACTCTTATTCATTCAAAGTTTAATTGCGCAAAACTTTTCTTTCTCTTTTGTTCTACTCTTTTATAAAAAGAGCGCCCGATGAAATAAAAACTTTTTTTTTTAACATATAATTATAGTTTGATATAAAATTAAATTAGAAATAAATCAACAACAAGCAAAGCAACGAACAGATTAATCTAGAACTATTTTGATATTTATGAAAATAATCAACATAAACAACATTACCAACAACAGTTATCAAATAAACAACACAATCTCACATAATTTTAGGGGCATTTTATTTTTATTGCTTAGTCGTTCTAAATAATATTTAGTTAATAATTCAATATTTACAGTTGCAATATAATAAAGAAATGGTGTTTAATACTGAACTTTTTATTTAGTTATTTATTTTTTTACCTACATTTGTTATAAAAAACTTTAGAAACCCCGTCATTAAAATAAATTGTTTTAAATATATTTTGATGTGATTATTCAAACTTATTTTTTTCGTTTGACTTTCCGAACTTCATGCAAAGCAAATTAAAACGAAATATTGTCTAACCAAATAAAAAAGCTGTTACTAATTTTATACGGGTAATTAATGTAAAACAATTTTTGAGATAAATATTTTTTACTTAGATAAATATTTTTAATTTTATACGGGTAATTAATGTAAAACAATTTTTGAGATAAAAATTTTGAGATAAACATTCATAATTTATAAACATTAAATATATGGTGCAATAACAATTTGTAGCAACGAACCAGCATAAAATATTTAAGGTTTTTAATATCTTTTTAAATATTAAAAGTAGAAAAAAAAAAAAAAACTAAACAAATAACCAAAAAAACTTCGACTAAAAAATAAATAATAATATTTCTAGAGTTTCTTTTGTTAAAAGTCTACCGTGACGTCAAATACTAAAATTTTTATGAATTAAACGCGCTTCAAAGGAATTGCCAAAGTCTGTAGATTGCAACGCATAATTTGAAGACTCCGAGTAGTTGAAAAAAATGAAGAAGACAAGCTTCGGCAAAAACAACAACATTTGTTTTTCATGGTATGCATTCATTATTTATTTTTAATCAAAAAAATTTGGTTCAAACCTTTTTTTTTAACATTATCTTTAATATGAACACAATATGTGTTGGGAGTTTGGTATCCCTTTAAATCATCAATACAAAATATTACTTGCGTGGTCATATAAAAACTTGGAATCGCAAGTCTTCCTGGCCAAGCTTGGGTACAAATACTCAAAATTATTAATTGGTCATGCAAGAAAATATTTTATAAAATTTATTTTGTAAAAACATGTATTGCATATTTATTGAAAACTAAATAATGATTGCAAAACAGTGCAAAAAAGGTGTAGCATTATCAAGTCAATTTTAAAATTGAAATTATTTAATGGGTTTTCAAAATGTTTAACATAAATTTTTTAACAAAAGAGCAAAGGTAAATATAGACAAATTCTAACAGGCTTAACTTAACTTGAGATTTTCTAAAATTAAACTGGGTTTTAGAGCTGCACCCTTATTAGGAAATAACAGAAAGAGTTGCATAGCCAGTACTAAAGAAGCACAAACAAAAATCGTAGCCATCATAAAAGGTTCAGTTTTTAAAAAATACTAAGTGCACGCATTTACCTTGGGACATCTGCTAGACCTTTTATAAATGTCCGGACATCCTTTTAGAAATGCATCCCCACTAGGTAGTTCAATTAAACTAACTGTATGGGCAAACATGCGGTACTATAATATAAAGAAAACTATTTACATAATCAGATAAATCTTCAATGTCCTCTACCAATCCTTCAATTATCATTTTATGTTCTTGAAATCCACACTGAACAAAAAGCTTCCTCTTTAAAGCAGCTGAAAAAAAAACATTTTAAACTATAAAAATATAAAAAGTTTTATGTATAACAACTTATGCACAGCTTAATGTGCACTAATATATTTTTAAATATATATCAGGCTTGGACAGAATGGAGTGCGATTGCACGCTGTAATTGACCAGTCTTACAATTTTTTTTCTTTACAACTTGACCACAGCTGTTTTAATGTTTTAACAATTTAAATGCAATAAAAAAAATTATTACATAAATAACTTTTAGTCAATGATCTTTTGTAAAAATTTTATTCTATGCAAAGATTTTAAATAAAATAAAAAATTAATTATAATGATTGTTTAAAATAAACACATTTTATGTTAAATTAACAAAAAATGTTATATTTGAATTTTTTTTTATGTAGAAGTATTTTTTATGATGAATTTAAACGTTAAAAACTATTTTTACCATGTTTTTCTAGAAATCTTTTGAAAGATTGTTATTTCAAGTTATTATAAATTATGTACAAGTTAAATTAAATCTTCCTGTTGCTTCATTTTTTTGTTTCTATTTTTACAAAAATTTTGTTAAAAACTTTTTTTTTTAAACTTGACTTACTAATCAGAGCATGAAATGATCTTTAAAACAATTTTTTTTTTTTTGCAACTTAAGTAATTTCGAGTTTGAGTTTTATGTGTATATTTGTATATATATATATATATATATATATATATATATATATATATATATATATATATATATATATATATATATATATATATATATATATATATATATATATATATATATATATATATATATATATATATATGTGTGTGTGTGTATATATATTTTTTCCTTTAAACATCTTCGCTTCCAACAAGGCTGCAAGCAACCACTACTTAGTGTTGGAAGTTACTGGAAGAGAAAAGATGAAGATTGTAGAGCAAGATAACAATTGACAGACAACTTAAAAGATTGCAAATTATATGAATCAGGAAAGCAAGATAAAGGAAGGATATATATATATATATATATATATATATAAATATATATATATATATATATATATATATATATATATATATATATATATATATATATATATATATATATATATATATATATATATATATATCTTTATAGTCGTTTGAATAAATTAATAAACAAAAACGTTTCAGCTTTTATATAACTTCTGCCCCATAGTATTAAGCTAAAACTTCAAACTCTTAGATAAAAAAATCACTGAATATTTGTAAACAAAACAAAACAATGAGCTTCATAATTTTTAAAAAAAAGTAAACCAATCAAAACGCACTCAAAATAAAACAACTTTTTTTGAAAACAAAAGGGCCTAAACCAGGGTTGGCATTAAAAAACCCGCCCAATAAAACCCAAAAAAACCCGCCTAAAAAAACCCAATAAAACCCTGGAAAATCTGGGTTTTATTGGGTTTTTTTAAAGATATTTAATAAGTTTATGAACTGTTATAACCAACTTTAACATTATAACTATAATATTAATAACTAAAATAATTATTAACTATTATTATTAACTAAATTATTATTAACTGTTATTATTAACTATTATAACCAACAATAACAGCTATCAGAGCAGGTTTACTATTATTTGAATCATTTTTTGAAAATACATTATTACAATTTTTATTCAAATATTTTTATCAATTGAGATTTTTATTACTTTATGTTATTCACCTCCCAAGTTGAATTTAAATAAGTAGTAGTGACCAGAGAAGCCAACACAACAGTCGAGGAGGCTACCTTGTTGTGGTTACAATCCTCTCTCAACTCCTACGCGGTAGTAGTGTTGTGGTAGAGCACTCGCTTCATAAGTGAGAGGTTCCAAGTTCGATCCCCACCATGTCCCTGGCAGTACCGCGCTCAACTCCTTTCTCCGCGCAGCGGCCTTGTTCGTCAAGGTTCGTGTTTCGGAGTTATAGAGTTGAGAAAGGGTTGAAGTGGCCTTAAGCTTTGAGGAGGTGAATTAATTTTAAAAAAAAAAAAAAAACTCTTTAATTTCTAAACACGAATCTTTATAAACAAGGCCGCTGTGCAGAGGAACAAGTTTGTTCATTTGAATTTCAAGTTCAAAGTTTAATTGAAACTTCAGTTACTATCTCCCATTCTCTAGCCTTTTTTTTCCCATTTTCTCATTGACATTTTTAATTATATAAAATAATACTTTTAAATTTAAAATAAATCAATACATATTAGGGTGCATCACAAAAATTTTTTTTTTAATATTGATCTGTCTATTATCTCAAGTTGTTCCAATCACCAAAAGATGCAATGTGTTAAAAAATAAATTTTATTAGACAATATTTAGAGGTCCCCCATGCCCTAACAAGTTTCACCTTATTTACCAAAATTAAGTGCTAAATAATTTTTTTATAATTATTAGCTTTGTCTTTATATTTATGTTCTTTGGCTACCATGATTGAAAATGTAATTTTATAAACATAGTCAAGTCTGCTCAAAAAATCAAAATAAAATTTAATTATATATTAGTTAACCCAGTCCAGTGACAATTGGTAAATTTACAATTCCATTAAAGAAGAAGCTGAAGTTTGAGCCAACAACACCTAAGCAGCCCAAAAGTACACCTAAAGTTGAAGCTGAAGTTGAGCCAACAACACCTAAGCAGCCCAAATTTGACGATAATTCGTCATCATCTGGTAGTGCAAGTCGCCGAAATACTCCTGTCTTGGACTCAAAAAAGAAGCCACAGACTCGTAGAGCTACAGAGTTGTTTGGTATAGGTGCTGCAATCTGTGCTGATGATGCACTAATCACTGGTATCCGATTGCCAACCTGCTTGCAAGTTTTGAGATGCATGATGTATCACAGTAAAGAGGCTACCCATGGTAAGCGACCAGAATCACTCGGTGCAACATCAAGATTCACATCTGCCAAGATAGTTCTGAAACAGGTTAAAGCTTTGTATGAAAAAGCCAACATCCCAATGGTCACCGAGCATAGAGCATGCGAAAAAATAGTGAAACTTCTTGATGATAACAATAAACTTTGTTCGATCGATAAAAGTCGCTGTGAAACACCTGCAACTCAGCACAAGCTTCTTGAGATGCAGTCCATGTTGGCAACAACTTTCCAACTCTGGCCGGCCAACGTGGATAGTCTTATGAACAATGATGAAGATCTTGCATTCCTGCAGTCAATGAAAACTGATAGAGCCGCAAGTTTTGGGGTATTTGACAAGGCGCTTGCTCAGAAGATAAATCGGCGTCATTGTCGTGATGTTGCAGCATTAGGACGCCTTAAGCGTGCTCGTGGTGAGATTGAAGCATCAACCAAGACTGCGTTGCCAGAAGTTGTAACTGACAAATAGAGTCAAGCGAGTCTGCTTCTGAAGATGACATGGAATCAGAATTTAGATCTCCATCAAAAGAAATGGAGCTACAAAAACCAAACTGTATAAAACCGAAAGGAACATTGTCATTCATACCACCAGATTTGCTAAGCCGATTAAACCTTGTGTCATTAGCAACACGTCTGAAGATGACGCCAACACAACAACCTGCATTCACACAAGGAGTCATAGCTGAGTCTGGTGGCAATGTATCTATGGTTGCTTCTTCGTATGCAACTGCAGATCGCGCACGACGCAAGGTTGCACGCAAAATTTCTATAGAAATTCACAATAGCTGGGAACCACCAAAACTCTGTACTCTGCATTGGGATGGAAAGCTGACACCAACTCTAACAAATAATCGTGTCACTGAAGAACGTATGACGGTGGTTGTTGGTGATGCATTGCAGTTGAAGCTACTGGGAGTGCCTAGTTACTTCAAGGGTACAGATCAATCTGTTGGAGAAATCATTCCCAAGCTAACAATGAACCTAATGATCGAGTGGCATTGTAATGATCGAATTGTTAATATGACATTCGACACAACGAGCTCAAATACACCTAACTGCAGCTTGCATTGCCATTCAAGATAAGCTGGAACGTGCTGTCTTCTGGTCAGGATGTCGTCATCACATTGGTGAAGTACTTCTCTCTCACGTGTTTACTGACCTCAAGATAGAAGCATCAAAGTCACCAGAAGTCACAGTGTTCACAAGGCTACGAAGTAACTGGAACTTAGTGCCACACGACTCATCTCAGATACTGCCATTTTGTCCAACTGATCATGACGTGGAGGCCCAACAGCTGCTGTCGAAGATGAAGGATGAGGTGATCGCTCGTGCAATTGAAGATGTAGATTGCCTGCGTGATGACTACCGTGAATTCACAGAGCTCACACTTGTTTATTTATCTTATTCCAAGGTTGAAGTAAAATTCCGAAGGCCAGGTGCTCTTCACAAGGCTCCTTGGATGGCAAAGCTGATCAACGGCCTGAAAATTGCACTTCTAGAGAAACATATTGCGGAACTACCAGCAGGAACTATCACTACTCGTCACCAAGCGCCGAAGATACGAGCATTCACTACGTTTATTACTCATGTTTACAGTGTGTGGTGGCTCACATGTAGGAACATGGTTGATTCCCCATACAATGATTTACAGCTTTACAAACGTTTACTAGAGTACGAGACTGTGGACAAGGTGATTTTGCAGTCAGCAATTCGAGCTCTGAATCAGCACCTGTGGTATCTCACTGAGGAAATGGTGCCACTTGCACTGTTCAGTAAGCTTGTACCATCAACGGAACGACGAGCTCTTGCAGATGCCTTGCTCAAATTGAAACCATCAAGTGATCTGCAAGCTCCAATGAATCGATTTGGCAACGGATGGGGCAAGCCACATTTTCCATTGTCCATTGATCATAGAACATAACTGAGTGATCTGGTTGGAGTTGACTCCTGGTTTACAGTTTACCGTCTACAATTAGACACCAGCTTTCTGGAACTTTCGGTCGATGAATGGGAAAAGACACCTGCTTACATTGCCAGCGTTGAAAATTGTGCAGCAGTGAACGTGGTGAATGATTGTGCCGAGAGGGGTGTCAAGCTGGCATCAGACTTTGTTGAAACTGCACGATCGGATGAGCATTATCAAAACGTTCTTCAAGTGGTCGAGAAAGATCGGAAAGAGACACCAAATTTGCGACGCAAACGATGCAAGAAGGAATAAACATTAACAGTTCATCTAATTTTGGATTCATTTGACATCTTTCTACTATTATTAAAACAAATAAAGATTCATTACTATAGTTAATTAGTCATTAATTAGACCTTAAACTGCAATGAGGATTGAATTTTATTAAAAAAGAACTGACTATTAGTCATAGTAATCAATGATTTTTGCATTTTTTGGTTAATGATTTTGTGCTTTTTGTAGAAAAAATTGAACAGAAAATGATTTTAGTGATCTCAATTTGGTTTTATCTGTTCAGTTGCCTTCATTATACAATTAAAACAATTTAGGTTTATTACTATAGTCATTATTCTCATTAAAGGACAATAAGTATTGAATTTTATGAAAAAACTTACTAGTCGATCGACTTTGTGTCTTGCGGTTGGTTTCCTGGATTTCAAATTCTCATGGGGGACCTCTAAACTTACTCAGATTTGGAAAATATTTCACTCAAGTTATTATTATTCACATTGGAACACATTGGAAACACAGACAGCTCAAAAATAAACAACTAATTTTTTGCCCTAATGTGGTCATGCACCCTAATACATATAGATTAAGCGTGAAATTTTTTCTTTTCTATTACAGTTTTAAATTATATTTAAAAATCTTTAAAATAATTTTAAAAATTCTTGTTATAAATAATTAAACAACAATATATAAAATATATTTTAAATGAAGTTAAAGTAGAAAATGAAACTAATTTTCAATATCATTAAACAAAAACACACAAATTTTTTACAGGGACAAAATAAAAATTAAACCCAAAAAAACCCAAATTTACCCAATAAAACCCAACAAAACCTAAAAAAACCCACTGGGCCGGGTTTTTTTTAAAAAAAAAACAGGTTTTTGCCAACCCTGGCCTAAACACTATATTTATCTTCGAATCTCTCCTTAACTATGCTGAGTAGCATAAAACTTATAGAAGTGAAAAATATGTAGTTTTATTTATAATATATATATATATATATATATATATATATATATATATATATATATATATATATATATATATATATATATATCATATTATATATATATATATATATATATATATATATATATATATATATATATATATATATATATATATATATATATATATATATATATCATATTATATTATATATATATATATATATATATATATATATATATATATATATATATATATATATATATATATATATTATATATATATATATATATATGTATATATATATATATATATATATATGTATATATATGTATACATATATATACATATATATATATATGTATATATATATATATATATATATATATATGTATGTATATATCTATATACACATATATATATATATATATATATATATATATATATATATATATATATATATATATATATATAATATATATACATATATATATATATATATATATATATATATATATATATATATATATATATATATATATATATATATATGAACCTTCTGATTTTAGTTAATTATATAATATATTATCGAAAAAGTAAATAAAAAGTAAAGATTTATACTATAACTAATAACAAAGATAAAAAACAATAGATAAAATTGATATAACATGAATCTGTAATAAATAAATGTATAAGAATATACAGCAATGATAAAAATATAATGATCAAAAAATATATAATAAGAATTCTTAAATAGATAATCTAATGATAAATAATAAAATTATAAGACATATTCCAACTGATATATGAAATGGAAAAACCTTACTAAAGAGCATATAATAAATTATAAATCAATAATTAAAAATAAAATGTGGAAAACTGAAAAAAAAAAATGAAATTAGTAAGTTAAATATTGTAAAAAATTAATACTTACAAATTAAAACAAATTAAAAAAAAAAAGAAACGTCAACAAAAAAACAAAAAACAAATCTTTTAATTCTCTATAAAATTGCTATTGTACTTTTTTTCTTCTTTTCTTTATTTAAAATTATTAAAATGTTCTTTTTATATATATATATCTATATATATATATATATATATATATATATATATATATATATATATATATATATATATATATATATATATACATATATATATAGATATTTTACAGATAGTAACTTTAAAAAAAACCTACAAACTGTATCATTTTCTGAAATTTCAATGATGCAAACATTATTGTCATAATATACAATAAATTTTAGTTGATGGATTTCATCTGAATCAAGATAAACAACTTCATCTTTTTTATCACTTCCTTCAAAATTTCTACAAAAAATAAATTATTTTTTATATTTTATTACAATAAGGTAAAAGATGTATTACAATGAGGTAACAGAGATGTATTATAATGAGGTAATAGAAATGTATTACAATGAGGTAGCAGAGATACATTACAATGAGGTAACAGAGATATATAACAAGGTAACAGAGATATATTACAATGAGGTAACAGAGATATATTACAATGAGGTAACAGAGATGTATTATAATGAAGTAACAGAAGTGTATTACAATAAAACAACAGAAATGTATTGCAATAAAATACCAGAGATGTATTACAATGAGGTAAAAGAGATGTATTGAAATAAAATAATGATGTTTTGATTTAAACAATTTATTTACATACTACACAAGTATGTTTTAATATTTTTCAAAAAATAAAGAAATTTTTTTTCTTTGCTGAAAATTTTATGCACAAGTACTTCAGTGTAAATTTTAAGTGTAAATTTCAGTGTAAATTTCAGTGTAAACTTCAGTGCACACTCTAACTCAAAGTTGATTTAAGTGTAAATAGCAACTTCAGTCCACATTCTAACTTGCATTTGATTTAAATGTAAACTTCAATGCACACTCTAACTTGCAGTAGATTTAAATGTAAACTTTGGTGTACAGCTTTTTTTTTCCTTTTTGTAAAATTAGAAATTATCAACAATATTTTTAATAAATGGTACTTGGAAATCTAAAATAATGGTAAAGTTTATTAATGCAGTTTTTATTTTTGCAATAAGTTATTTTCTATTGTTATTTACTAACTTTTTAAAAATCAAAAATCATTTTTAGTTGCAATTACAAATTTACGAAATAATAATAAAGCGCAATTTTAATTCATTTATTCAAATTATGAGAAAAGAAAGAAATTAGCTCATATTTTAAAAAAAATGTAATGTTTAATTTAATTATTTAATATTAAAAAAATATAATCCATAATATATTTACATAGAGATAATTTTTAATTGAAATTGTTTTATTGTTTTAGTTTTTAAAGTAATTTATTGTTGTAGTTTGAGAAAGTTAAAGCTAGCTTGATATGTTAAAAAAAAATTTATATTAGAAGATTTAGTGTTATGAACAAAGTTATAGAAAACATACGTCAGACCTGAAATATGCAATCAGTGCTAAGTCTCCTTACACAATAAAAGATACAAAAATCATTGAGAAAATGAAAAAATGAACTACAAAAGTACCAATCATATAACATCTTGGTTACACAGAAAGATGTATCTTGTTTCTAATTCAAAAACAAGAGAACTGTAGATAAAGAGGAGTTTTAAATCAATGTCTTGCTATCATTAGTAAATATCCTTTAATAATGATAAATAAATATCATTATTATTATTTAGTAAATATCATTATTTATTACTTTCATAATGTTAAAAATCATTATTAAAGGTCTTGCTATTATTAGTAAATATCATTATTTATTACTTTCATAATGATAAATATTAAAGGTTTATTATTAAAGATCTTACAAAATCTGAGATGGTCCATAAGGGACTATGGGCACGGAATTTATATACATATATATATATATATATATATATATATATATATATATATATATATATATATATATATATATATATATATATATATATATATATATATATATATATATATATATATATATATATATATATATATATTAGGGTGACGCAAAGTAGGGTCGAAAAACAAAATTTTTTGAAAATCAATAACCGCAGTTGTTTATCCTGTTCTACAACATTCAGTTAGTCTAAACACAAAATATCACTTATTTTTATTTGTTGGAAGTACTACATGTAATTTTTCAAATATTGAGGATTGGCTGAACTTTATGTCATTTTTTATGGGTTAAAATGATGTAAAATATGTTTACATCTAAACTTTTGTTTGATCTTACAAGAAAAAAAACACTGTTTATAGTTTCATACAGTTAGCTATTATTTTACAATAATTTTTCAACTCTATGTTTTAGCTTTACCAGTTCCTTAAGCGACATATCTTTTGTTATAAGCTTTCTGTGCTCTCTGACTACCAAAAGAATGTTCTGTCTCTGATCCTCATTGTGGGAACTGTGAACAAAGTTTTCAATTAAACTAATATTTCTTTCTGCGCAATCGTTGGTCCCACTAAGATTGCAAACTAATTGAGAAAAATTTTTGTATGAATCTAGCGCTAAGAAATCACTTGAAGTATGCCACTTTCGAACAGATTCGGTGTGACCTGTAAGTATAAAAAAAATCCAACACTCCTTCGTAATTAAATCCTCTAATTGACTATCACTGGTAACAATAACAGCAAAAGGAGCTGTAACAGAAATCTCTGATAACTCAGGAATTGGAAATTTTAAAAGTTTCTCAATGATTAAACGCTTAGCATCTGCTTTCATATGAGGATCACCTAACAATAGTACGACAACTTCAGGAGACAAACACCATGTGTGGTTACTCATACTTTTTTGATGTGAGTTTCCAACTTCATAATCCCATTCTGTTTTAACTGTTTCATCAATTTTGAATGCATTAAAATCATTTAGAACAGCAGGTCCATAATAAATAGCAACAATAAATGCTACCCTTGAGACCATATGTTTCTTTTTAGGAGTCAGATATTCAATGACTGTGGATGTCATATCGAGTATTAGAAAGTATATTGCATAGGCCATAAACCTTGCATTGTGACAGGCTGATAGATGTGAAAATTATTTAATTTCTCAGACTTAACATTCATGTAATTTGCCAAATATTCAACATGATGCCTGTAATTATTCTTAAAATATTCCTAATTTTATTTAATAACTTTAACAAAAAAAAAGTATATTTATGGAAAAACTAATTCATTTTATATTATTTTTGCATACCTGGGGAAGATTTCATGTTCTAGTGCTTTAGTTACAAACTTTTCAGACTTCAAAAAGAGTTTGCAGAGATCACTGCCAACAATAAGGTCTTGCTCAGGAAATCATTTGAACTTTTCTACAGTACCACTAGCTGAAACTTTGGAAAAAATTCTGTTATCCATTTCTTGTGAAAATCATTTAGTAACTTATTTGCAGGGCTTTGGACATTTCCATTGAAATTGCCTTAAAAGCCCAAGTAATATTTATTTCGGCAATATGGTGTCTACACAATAACCAAAAAAATGGTTTACCGAGAAATCTTGCCATAATAGTTATTGCACCAGATTTCCATCCAGTGTTACTTACTGTGGTGTCAGAACAGAATCCTACAATATAGTCACACATTTAAAAATATTCTAGGCGATTCATTATACTTATAGCCAAATCGATTCCCTTACCACTATCAGTTGGCACAACACCAAGTAAAAGATCATCTTTGGTTTCAAACTCTGGGCTAGTAACAGATACTGATAGTCTGTCTGCAGTAGTTGCCTGTCTAATGTCCTCCTCAATATGCTTTAAAATTTTACCATCAAAATGTAAAACTAACATCTTGTTAGCCATTAAATTAATATATTCATTACGTATCTGGCCTCTTTTCTACTCTAAAAATATGTAACGTCGCCTTCTGACAGATTCTCTGCTTAACTTTAGCTGTTTAACATCTCCTAAATAGTTTACTACGCTTGCAATAAGAAGGGTTTGATCTCGAATGCTGAGACCTATACTGGTGGAAGTTGTTGCTGCAATGAGACCTTCACTGGTTATCTTCTTTTCTACTCTGAAATATGCTGGTCTAAACTGATGCCTACTTTTTGAGCTTGCTTCGTGAAAATTAACATTTTTATTTGGGCCAAAATCATCCGACTTAGCAATTACACTTCCAGCATCTAAATTAATATAAAGATTTTTAGCTCAGTTATTTACTTCAAAAAATTACTAGTTTTGCCTAAAATGTCCGTGCATTATTAGAAAAAATTGTTTATATTCTCTCTTTTTATTTAATCATAAGTTGAAACAAATATTTTTATGTGTTTAACAAATTATACTTAAATATTACCTAACTGTGATTCAGCTCTTGTTTTTTTAGGTTCTGTAGGTTCCTCACTTGCGAAATTGAAATTTATATCATTGTTAGGAAAAAAAAGTTGTGATTCCATTGCCTTTTTTCCCTGATTTTTTCTTCGTTGTCACGAATTATCGAATCATTGCTCTTCTTTACTCGATCTTTATATTCTTCTTTCCTCTTGCGCCTATCAATCTTTCTCTGAAACCTTGCTTCAAGCTGTGTCAATTTTAGAAGATATCTGTTAGTTCTGTGCAAAAAGTTGCTAAAACACTTAGCATAAGATAAATTTGAATAAAAAAACAAAATTTCTCAAAAAATGATTTTTTTATATATGGGAAAAATTAGTAGATATATCATAATTGAAAAATAGGTTAAATCTTCGGTATTTTTTGCTCAAAAAAATTTGAGCAAAAAATGCCTTTGATCATCTAAGAAGACCAAATCCTCTTGTAAAGCAGAAGTATCACGAGGCATTGATTCATCATGTCTAAACTTCATCTCAAAGTCCTTTGCACTGATGTCAAACAATTGCTCTACTATATTGTAAATTTGCTTTTTGATTTGAAAGGTTTTACTGTTGCACAAAGTTTTGTATTTGCTGTGTAGAGATTTAAACTTTTCCACTATACTTCTCTCAGAAATTAAGTAATTACTGAAACCAGCAGACTTCCAAATATTTACAATTTGTTGGAGTAAACAGTATTTTTCAGTATTTGAATTACAAAACTTGTCTTTCCCTTTGTATATAACATCCTCTCGTGCTCGAGAACATGAAAAGTTTGTTTTAATAGGTTTGAATCGATTATCTCTAGCTGAAGTTAGGAACAAGTAATATCGAAGAACACTTCTATTTGATGGAAGTTGGTTTGTAGGTAGATAGCTTAAAGACGAGTTAAGCAGGTAAACAGATCTACGAGCGTTATAGCTAATTTCTTTTGTTTTCCTCTCTTTGATTTTCAACATTTTGTACGGATATGTAAACAGTAAAAAAAAATCGAAGTTTAAAGTAAGATAATTAATATATCAAAAGTTGCCAAG